TCTAGGCTGTCTAGGTTATGAATGTATTGTTGATAATAGACTCTGATAATCTTTTGTATTTCTATGCTATCACTTATGTCTTTTTTCATTTTTGATTGTGTTTATTTGGATTACTCTCTTTTCCTGGTTAGTCCAGTTAGTGATTTGTTGATTTTATCTTTTCAGAGAACCAGCTTTTCCTTTCATTAATCCATTGTAATTTTTTGGTCTCTGTTTTAGTTCTGCTCTGATCTTTGTTATTTCTTTTCTTCTTTTAACTTTAGGTTTGGTTTATTCTTGTTTTCCTAGTTCCTTGAAATGCAATGACAGGTTGTATATTTATGAGTATTTCACCTTTTTATACAAGCCTTTAATGCTGTAAACTTCCCTCTTAGCAGTGCTTTTTTTCTGTATTCCACAGAATTTGATACATTGTGTTTTCATTTTCATTTGTTTCAAAAAAATTTTTAAATTTTCCTCTGAATTTCTTCATCTATGCAGTGATTGTTTGAGAGCTTACTGCTCAATTTTCATTTGCTTAGTTTACAAATTTCCTTTTGGTGTTGATTTCTGGCTTTATGCCACTGTGGTCTAAGGAAATAATTTATATGATTTTGATTTTTTAAAACTTGTTAAGAATTGTTTAATGGTCTAAGAGGTAATCTATCTTGAAGAATGTTTGATGAGCTGATGTATTTTCTGCAGAATATTTTGCAGAATGTATATTCTGCAGTTGTTGGATAGAATGTTGTATAAATGACTATTAAGTCCATTTGGTCTAAAGTCCAATTTAAGTCCAATTTTTTTTTTTAAATTTTCTGTCTTGATGATCAATCTAGTATTGTGAATGAGGTGTTGAAGTCACCCACTATTATTGCATTGCTGTCTATCTCTTTAGGTTTAGTAACATTTGTTCGGTGAATTTGGGTGCTCTGATGTTTGGTGCATATATATTTAAGATTGTTGGCTGAATTGATCCCTTTATCATTATATAATGACCTTCTTCATCTTTTTTTACTGTTTTTGATTTAAAATCTATTTATTCTAATGTACGTATAACTACTCCTGTTTGCTTTTGGTTTTTGTTTGCATGAAATACCTTTTTCCATTCATTCACTTTCAGTCTACATATCTTTTTAGGTAAGGTGAGTTTTCTTGAAGGCAGCATATAGTTGGATCATGTTTTTTAATATTCATTCTGCCAATCCATATCTTTTAGTGGAGTATTTAAGCCATTTACAGTTAAGGTTAATATTAATATGTGAGGCTTTGTTCCTGTCATATTGTTTTTTTCAAGTGGTTTTATACATTCTTTATTTCCATTTCTGTCTTTTTTTCTTTGTGGTTTGATGAAATTCTGCCATGTTGCCATTTGATTCCTGCCTCTTCCTCCTTTGTGTGACTGTTTCATAACAGCTGTGAATTTTATATTTCTATGTGTTTTCATGATAGTAAAATTGACATTTTGTTTCTATGTTTAATAACCGTTTGTGCATTTCCTGTAGGGACAGTCTCATGGTGAGAAATTCCCTCAGTGCTTACTTATCTGGGAAAGACTTTATTTCTGTTTCATTGTTGAAGATTATTCAAGCAGGATATAAAATTCTCAGCTGACAGTTTTTTTGTTTGTTTGTTTGTTTTCTTTCAGCCCTTTGAAAATGCCATCCCATTCTCTTCTGACCTGTAAGGTTTCTGCTGGAAAGTCTGCTGTTACTCTGATGGAATTTCCTTTATAAGTGACTAGACATTTTTCTCTTGCTAATTTAAAAACTTTTTCTTTCACTTTGACTTTAGACATTCCGAATATAATATACTCTTGTGAATTCCTTTCTGTAATGTATTTTTCTTAGGATTGCTAGGCCTCCCATATCTGGATGTCTAATGCTCTTAATAGAGTTGGCACATTTCCATCAATTATTTTCTCAAATGGATTTATTAAACTGTTGGTCTCCCTCCCCTCTTGATAGTACTGAAAATTTGTACTTGCGATCACTTTATGTAATCCTAGAAGGCTTTGTTTATTCTTTCTTATTTTTTACCTTACTATTTTCTCACTGGATTATTTACAATACCTATCTTCAAGTTCTGATAGTCTTTTTTTCTGCTTTATCTAGTGTATGATTGAAGCTTTAAAATGTATTTTTATTTCCCTCAATGAATTTTCTAGTTCCAGAATTTCTGCGTTTTTTTTTTTTTTTTTAAGATATTTATCTCCTTGGTAAATTTCTCATTCACATCCTGAATTGATTTTCTGGTTTCTTTGTATTGCTTTTTAGATTTCTCTTGCATCTCATTGGGCTTCTTTAAAATCAATATTTTGAGTTCTTTATCTGACATTTGTAGGAGTTTTTTGATTGGGATATGTTGCTAGACAATTGTTTTGTCTTTTGGTTGTGTCATATTTCCCTGCTTTTTCATGTTTCCTCTGTTCTTCCACTGATATCTGTGCATCTGGTGTAGCAGATGCTTGTTCCAATTTTTTGAAATTACTTTTGTAGGAGAGAAATTTTCCTTGAGGTTTTATGTATATTGTTGATTAATGTAGTTTGACTTTGACTTTGGGTGCCTGTGGTAGTGTGATCTTTGCATTACTTCTTTGGCAATACACAGGGTCAGTGGTATCTGTGATTTCCTTAGTTGCTTAGGGTATAGTCATTGGTTCAAGTAGTGGTGCAATTTTTGAGGAGGACTTGGATGTAAACTGAGCTAATCTTTGGGCCCTGGTGGTGGCAGCAGTGGGGTAAATATGCCCCTTTTAAGGCCCCAGAGCATTTACACTGGCTGTAGTGTTAGAGGGTCCTGGAGATTGATTCTTGAATCTTCAGGTGGCTTGCTTAGAAACTAGAAGTGGAAGAGGTGAACAAGGCATGCGGGTTGGTTCTTAGACCCTTGGGCAGCTGGATTGGTGTAGGTGATGGTTGTAGCAGTGGTGTACCCACTGGTACCCAAGAAGTCTATGCTGGTGTTGCTGAAAGCTGTGATGGGTTGGATGGGCTAGTCCCTAGTCCCCCAGCTGCCCATAGCAAGGCAGTGGCTATTGTCCTAAATGTGCTTAGGAAATCTTTGTCTCCCCATCTCTTCCCTGGCTGGGTGGTGGCTGCAATCACATTTGCTCAAACTCAACTCAAGGGTGGGGCACAGCCCAGTGTTAAACCCTCAAAATGGTGCAAACCGAGGGTTTATGAACAGAGAGGGGAGGGCCCCTCTTAGATGAGCAACATGGGTAAGATGCTGTGGGCAGTATGGTTCCGTCAAGTCTCAGTCTCACAGAAGCCCATGACAGTGTAGTGGGTATTGTTCTAGATAGGAGAGCCTAGGAGAGCCTAGTTTCTTTGTTCCTCTTTGGCCAGGTGGTGGCTGCAGTCATGCCAACTTGAACTCAGCCCAACAATCAGATGTGACCCAGTATTAAACCCTCAAAATGACAACTTGGGCCTGAGACACGGGAGGGGCCTCTCCTAGGTAGGCAGGTTGAACAAGAAACTACAGAATGTGCAATCCACTTGCATCTTACCCAGTGTGGGTGAGCCAGATCTAACTTGTCGAGGGCTTGAATAGAACACAAAGGCAGAGTAAGGGAGAATTTACTTTCTCTGCACAATTGCTTGAGCTGGAACATCAGTCTTCTCTTGCTGTTGGACTAGGACTGTCTCAGTTTTCAGGCATTCAGGTCTTCAGACTTGGACTAAAACTATACCATTGACTCTCCTAGATCTATAACTTGCAGCTTCCTGATCATGAACCATCTCAGTGTACATAATCAAGAGAACTCATTCTAAGAATCTTTCTCTTTCTCTCTCATTCTCTCTCTCTCTCTCTCTCTCTCTCACACACACACACACACACACACGTATATATCTCCTATTGACTCTGTTTCTCTGGAGAACCCTAACAAATATAGATATTTTAATACCAAGAGTGATTCTAGAGGAAGAGAATTTTAGGGCTCATCTTCTGAATTGGTTCTAGTGTTTCTGGAATTGGCTAATATGTTTACATTTAAGATGCTAATGTCTCTATTTTCAGTAGTAAGGAGAGAATTGATAATCCATAGCATAAATTGGTAACAGAGATACACAAAATATCTCCTTGGGGTCTTCTTAATCACCCACTTAAAAGAATCCAAGGAACTCAGTAACTTTATGTATGATGCGACTGAACATTTTTTGAAAACTAGTGAATATAATGAGATGGTCTGGTTGTTCCTAATGTCACTGGACAAAGAAGTGGTGAAATAAAAGGATGAGCTCATGGATATGAATTTCTTTAAAACTTATTTAAGTTTTCCAATGGCATTTCATACAATCAGTTTTTATCTTAAAATATGCTAAAATTGAGAAAATCTGCATATCATGAAGTCTAACACTCATGTGAAGGTCAAAGAAAATTTATACTTTACCAGGGAGTCAATACTCCACCCAACAGCCTTTTTCTACCCACAGTGCAAGATTAATGTTCCTAGGAGTTATAGAGAAAACTAAACCCATAGAGGGGTAGCTTTGTTATTGGTGCTATTATGTTGGACCACAATAAAACTGTGTTGTATTTGAGTCTTGACGGATAAATTTAATCACAGATTTATTTCTGTGTTTTACTTTCAACAAATATTTGTGGACACCCTATTCCAAGCTTAAAAAAAAAAACAATTTTATCAGACATTATAAGTGTTAAAAGGAGTATATGACATAAATCCTATAGAGATGACATGTATCTAAGTTATTGCTCGAGATACAAATATGGCAAAGAAAGGAGGCTATAGCAAGTTTCATATACTTAGTGCTAATCTCAGGCATTTCAGAGTTTGATGATGATATAGGATTTGGCTTTGAATTGAGGGTAATATTTATATAGGTAAGTAGGTAAGTGGGTAGGTAGAACATGGTGGGTGCTTCAAGTAGGTAGTCATGAGTAAAGCATGGAGGAAAAACTGAAAAGTCAGCTAACAATAGTGTTTGAGTTGAGCTAGAATACAGATTTCATTTAGGAGCTTAATAAAGATAAAGAGTAAATTATAGTTTGGGGCCAATTAAGTAAAAGACTTTTAATTCTAACTTAAAATTTTATAAATTAATTCTTTTAACGATGGGAGAACATTTCGTAGTTTTCAAATAGAAAAACATCATTGTGGTATTCTATGAAGGTCTGGGAAGAGAGAAAAAAGTGATTAGTCTTTACTGAGTGTTACTGACTCAAGTGATCTTTTGGTAATAGATTAGAAATGTTAGTTCCTAGTGCAATTACTCATCATTAATAAGAGTTTAAGGTAACTATCACAAACAGAAACCTTCCCTCAAGATTGACATAGGCTGTGTTATTCTTACTGACTTATCTCATGGGGCTGAGCTGATAGATCTCAAAATGCTTTTTAAAAAGCAGACTGGGAGGCCAGGGCCAACTCCCAACTGATCCAGATAGAACTTGGCATAAAATCCTCTAGGGAATGTCTGGGTCCCACCAGCTCTGCCACCTGACCACTAGTGGGCAGACACAGCCCTTGGTTCTCAGGAAAATTTTATATCACAGAGGGGAATCAGGGTCAACGATTTCAGGGGCAGTCCCTTTCACTGCTTAATCCAACCTGCCTGACTTAATGATATAAACTGTAGATTTACTGCCTCTGCCCCCTGAGCACTGAGCCACCACCTTCACTCTAAAGGTAATTCCACCTGGTAATTAACTGTGAAATATTGAGTGGCCAGTGTCTGACCTGAGTGTTTGTGCCAAGCAAAAGCTTCACTTGTTTTTTTCTTTTTCTTTTTTTTTTTTTCTTTTTTTGCTCTCTTTCACTGCCAGTTTGTGTGTATGTGTATTTTTAAGTATTAACTCTCATGGAAGCACATGCCTATTTAAAATTCCCAGACGATGAGTCAGACCCGTTCAGTGAGGTTCCTGGAGAGTCACATGATGTGATTTGATGAAGCTTCACCTTATGAAGGGTTGGAGGAAAAAATCAAAAAAGCACTTTCAGACTTATATATATATACACATACACACACACACACACACATATAAACATACACATACATATATATTGTTGTGTATATATACTTGTATATAATGTCATATAATCTTGCATACATACACACACACACACACACAGAAGAGAAACAGAACACATACACATGCAGTTAAAAAAGAACCCCTTTGCTTTGTTTCTCTCTTGTTTCCCTCCATAGATATTTAAAAGTCTGGTGAGTCAACAGCTCATGCCTCTTTGAAACAAGAAGAAAACAGAAGCCGTGTAGCTACATGTGCTGCATATGGGTTTTAGTTATGTAGCTACCCTGTGAAATCACAATAGTGAGACTGGAAATTTGGATTCCAAAGTGATAAAGAGTTAGTATTCCTGAGACTTAGGATATCTGAGTGGTTTCACTTGCTGCTCTGATAGGCTATAGGCTTATTTAGGCCTCTAAATAATTCTATATTATAATTCATACTTTTCTTCACATCAGTTTGATGTTTCATGGTAAAACTAACATATCTTATTACATTGAACACTAAAGTAGGCTACCTCCTATGAATAAATCCAAGATATAGTAATTTCTGAAGTTTTTCTATTAATTTTTCTGTATATCTTCACTATGTGTAAACTCACTCTAGGGGTGGTATTTGCAATGTGAAAGCCTCATTTGCTAATGAACCCTAGCTATAAGCAGGATTGAGTCACTTCTTATGAAAAATATATGAGTTATAGAGTAATAAGTATTCTAGAACAAGCCTGTCTCAAGAGGGATATGGATGGCAAGAAAGCTAATAGTTGCTTAGAAAGGGAAAGTTCCCTTCAAAAGGTTGAGGACAGATGCAGAATTTTAGGAGTGTCTTGGTGTTTTAAAACATCATAGAGGAAGTAATTGCTGCATTGATTCATTCACTTAATAAACATTTATTGAGAGCCCACTGTGTGCCAGAAACTGCTAGATGTTGGAGATTCAAGAACCCACAAGTCCTTCTAGTTTGATGGATGGGAGTTTCATAAGCAAATAGTTATAATTCAGGAATGTGGAAAGTACTGTGAAAACACAGGTGCAGTAATGACTAACTTTGTCTAACAGAATTGGATAAAACTTCACAGAGGAGGTGATATTTGATCCAGATCTTTACAGATAAGTAGAAAATAACTTATTGAAAAATTAGTAAAGCAGAGGAAAAAAATATGAATGTTGGGAAGGTGAAGTTGAAAGAGGAAGGCCCATTAAAGATGTAATTTAATATCAGCCAGAACTGGTCCATAATAGGGAATGAATGTGCAATTCATTTGCACTTTTATTCTGGGTGAATCCAGAAGCTAAACATATTTCAGCAGTGGGTTTAGAACCAGGAAATGGAAAGCGACTAGTAACCTAGGCACTCTCTCATATATTCATTCTCAGTCTCTGTCCATGTTTCTCTCTTTCTCTGTCTTTCTTCCTCCTTCTCCTTAACCTGCTCAGGCTCTCTCATCTTTAGGTCTGAATAATTTTTCTCTGAAGAATGGCATCATTTTGTACTAAGATATTACAGTTTTCATCATATCTAGTAATAGTCCAGACTTACTGGGGTTGCTATATCTATATCCCAAAATTCCTAGAGGGAGAATCTTATTTGCCCAGTTGATCCAATGCACTGTGGTCAGGAGTGGAATCACACGGTACAGATACAAGTCCTGGAAACAAACCTCCATTGAAAGGGAAGGACATTCTCACATAGGTAGGCCATGGGTTGAGCATTGCTCCAAAAGTTAGCTACAATTTATAATAATTCTATATTGAATGCTCCTAAAGGGATTGTGGGCATGTAACATGACACTGTTACCTTTTGCACAATGCAAACCTAAATTTGCTGAGGTTGTTTTCTATAGCTTTTATTTATCTCTATATTTTGTGAATGTTTCTTGAGATGTCCAAGAAAAGGAGAATGGCGGACTGGGACGTGGAACTTGAGTTAATGTGAATATTTTTTATTTTTCTTTCTTCCTTCTTCCCCAATGGTCACTAGCCCCAGTTACGTAATGTGGGTTAATTATACTAGGGGTTGAGTGTGATACAAAGGTTATACAGTATTGAAAACCATTCCATTGGGAGTCCATTCCTCACTGTGGTCTGAACATAAGTAAGTTTCAATGAGATCCTGGTGTTCACGTATAAGTAGAGCCTGTAAGTGCCTGAAATTTCTTCTAACATATTTTTATCACGGAAATATGATGTAGCTGGTAGTATAAAGAAGCCCCTGAGCTTTGTTTTATTTATGTGTTATTTTTATTCTTAAATTTTTCAAATTCCCTATATCAAAGCTGTTTAGCAGGTTATCAGAAAGTGGAAGTTTTAGTAACTTGAGTTACTTTGTGAAAATTCTTAAGAAACAACTTCATTCCAACATTTCCATAGATTTGTTAGCATGCAGACTTAAAAACTAATAATTCCAAATCACATCTAAATTAATTCAAATTGGAATTTATGAAGGTAACTCCAACTACTGTAATAAATTCTCAAACATCAGTGGTTTATTACTTGCTCACCTAAAGTCCAAAATGGGTGTTCCCGATTGGTAGTCGGCTCTTCTCTTTGATTAGGGAACTGATACCTTTCCATCCTGTGGCTCTACCGCGTTCCACACACAGCTTCTATGGTCACTGAAAAAGTAACACAGAGAATTGCAAATGGGAAGCTTTTATGGGCCAAGCCTAGAAATGGCACAAATCACTTCCACCTATACATATTCAACTGGCAGAAGTCATTCCCACAGCTGGGCATAATTACTAGCATGGTTGCACTTTGCTCAAGAGGGAGAGGAAATAAGTGTGATGAAAATCCAGCTAGTCTCTTTCACAAAACTCTTGGTAAAGTTTCTTATAGTGCTTATTCTTGATATGAGTAACAATAAAAAGGTATAAGTGTATTTAATGTAAGCTAATTTGAAAATCATTCAGCAACATTAAAATCCAGTGTATAAATTACAACAACAAAATGCATCTGATGCTATTTTGTTGTCTATAATACAAATAAGCATTAAGTAGCCTAAAATGCACACACATACATACAGAGACACACACACCCTACTTTGACATTTAGTTGAGAATTGGGTTTCAAACTATTAAGTTGTGTATGAGTATCCAAAAAGAAATATATATAATTTAGATATGAGGAAATACTCTGCTATTTTCCTATCAATGCTACCTTTTTAAACAAAATTATTTTCTATGCTCCTTTTTGTATAAATAGAATACTACTAGAATTTGACAATAAAATACTTCATTATTCTTAAATAAAGTGATACAATTTCCATGTTTATCAGTTTTAGTTACCACTTTTCAGATTGGTATGTTCTGCTCAAATCGATAATACATATTTTCTTACATGCTTTATATAAATGTAGAAACAATTACTATGGTTCCAAATTTTTCTTGGCAATTAAACCTTTAGATTTTTCAGCTTCTAGTGGTTCCACTTGTTCTTCTATTTGTAGAAAATTATAGTAAAGAGTTAGTTTTGTGGGTTAGGGAAGAGTGCGCAAAAGGATGTTTTTTTTTTTTTTTTTTTTATCATGTACAGTCCCCTGGGTTTATAATTGTACCTCTCATTACAGTCTCTAGAGGAAATGTTTATGGTTTGAATCCTAGAAAAAGCTGTCATATGAAATCAGAACACCCAATGAATAACACAATACCACAGAGTTAATATGATTGATGATATCATAGCTCATTTTTAACAGATGTCAAAAGAAGAAAAATCAAGCTGCCATTCCACATACTAAGCCCTTGTTCACTTAACAGAAGACCTTTATAAGTAAATCATAATTAATGGTAAGTATTCAGTGGGTTAGGAGATGGGCATTTGGATTTCTTTTAGACTTTCAAAAGAAAAACCATATGATAAAAATAAGAATTTCTAGAAAAGATACTTATATATACCTTTAATTCCCTGGTGCTATATTTGACCAAATATTTAATTTGGCATTGGTGAATGGAATCTAGTTAGGAAAAGTTTCTTTTTAGAAATACAACCACATTTGTGGAACTCAAAAATCTCATATATATTCAGTCTTAAAAACAAGTTCTTCAATAACTGCCAAAGGAAATCCCACTTCCAGCTGCGTGCTGACTGGGAAAGAGAGAGTCGGTGGTACTTTTTAATGGTGTATGCATATAAAAACAACCTGGAGAAAGTAAAGGAAAACAATTGTATTTTAATTTCATTAAAAAATATCAGTAGTTTATTTGCTGAATCCAACCTTCTACCGAACCAGATTATTACTTTCTCTAAGCACATTGTAGTATGTGTTGACCATCTCCAAGAGAGGATAAGGAAGTTGGCTAACTCATAGAATTATCCATGAGATACATTGATTAGCACCCATATAATGTCCTTCTCCCTCCCTATTTTTGGAGATATGGACAAGGATAGTATATAATATGATTCCTACTCTAAAGTGGTCCTGGGGAGGCAAGGCACTGTGGCTCACACCTGTAATCCCAGCACTTAGAGAGGCCAAGGCGGGTGGATCACTTGAGGCCAGGAGTTTGATCCAGCCTGGGCAACATAGGTAGAACTCTGCCTCTATGAAAAAACAACAACAAGATTTTTAAAACATTAGCCAGGTGTGGTGATGCACCTGAAGTCCCAAACTACTTGGGAGACTGAGGCGGGAGATCACTTGAGCCCAGGAGTCCAGGACTGCAGTGAGCTCTGATGGCATCATGGTACTCCAGCTTGGGCAAAAGAGTAAGACCCTGTCGTTAAAAGAAAAAATTTCTAGGAAAGTAAGAAATCTTATATCAGGTAAGGGGCACTAGTTCTTCCTTAACCAAGAATCTGGGGAATTTCTTAGGTCCGAAGCATCTCCTCCCAGGTTTGGTGCTTATTAATGAATATTCAGGCCCATGCAGGTTGGGTATGCTGAGAGCAGGAACATATATCTCCCATTTCAATTTAAAATGAAAAACTCAGAAATTGTGTTTTTGTTAACCACACATAATCAGACACATACACACACCACACACACACACATACACACACACACTCAGAAAGAACTTTGTGGTTTTTTTTCTTTTTGAAGTACCAGGAGAACACACAGTAGTACTATGCCAGATGTATTAATTTAGATGAACAAAGGGGAATAAAAGCACTTTTGGCATTATGTCTCATTTTAAGTTGAAGATAGCATAACAAATAGAATGTAATTCTGAAAGTTTTATCGACACTTGAATAGCTAACTAAAGTTCATTTATAGTTTTAACTTTGTGATTTTGACAGTCTTTAGCAGGCGTGAGCAAGACTTTTTTCTGAAGGACCAGTACGTGTTATAGACTTTACAGGCTGTACGTTTTTGTTTCAACTACTTAAGTCTGCTGTTGTAGCAAGAAAGCCATAGACAACACATAGATAAACATGACTATGCTCCAATAAAACTACATTTATTAAAACAATAGTGGGTCAGATATGGTCCTTGGGCCATAGTTTGTCAACCTTTTGTCTTTCTCAAGCCTCATATCACATATTAACTATTATTCCTTTTCTCACAGAGTTTCTTAGAGATTATTCTCAAATAACTCATAATTTTAGCTTTTGATATGGAAATAAAATACGTTTTTCTCCATTTGTTATGAAGAGTGTGACCCACATGCTAGACTGAACAGACCACAAGCCCATAATCTTCCCCTGGGCCTTGTTGTGGACAGCGAGGGCCTGTAGGAATTGGGATGTAAGTTCATCTGTCAACTTACAGCTAAAGAATTTAAAGCAAGAACAAGGAGTTTTGGTTCCACAAGATGCTCTATTTAAAAGGACATTGTTGAGAGGCTTACTATTCAGCACTACTGGGACAGTCTTGAAAAAATGACCTACTTTCCCTCAGCAAAGCCAACTCTGAAAGAGGATGATGTCTACAAATGAGTTCTCATAAAAGAATATAATTAAACAGTGATGCTCTTCAGAGTGAAAGAGCTTTGAGATAATGACTACAGTGGCACACACTGTACCAAAGAGAACAAGATGTCACAATTATATATTTGCAGGTTGATTTAATCTGACAGGATTCTTAGCAACAGTGAACTTGGTCTGTCTGTGCATGACAACACAGCTTATGTGTCCTACAGATGAAGCTCTGTTTATCTTTTCTAAACTTACAAGTGTCAATTAGCAAATTTCTTAATCTAGCTGGACATTCTTATCAGTAGAGGTCCAGTATATGTCTTCATTTTCTTTGGCACAGTATGTGTAAATCACCCTTTTTATCTAAATAAAGTCTTTTAAAAATTCTCTGTATAAATAGATTTTTTTCATTATTTGATTTTTGAATTATATTCTCTCACTGCAAAGTCCTCATTATCCTATTTTTTCAAGTTTCCTTAATAGCTAAATTAGCAGCTAGTAGATTTAGATTATCCCTCACAGTTAATCCAGGACCTAGAGAAATAGATCACATCAGGGTTTGTAAACTACAACACTTGGGTCAAATCCATCCCACCACTTATTTTTGCATGACCCATGAGCTAAGAATGACTTTTACATTTTTAAATGACTGAAAAACAATCAAAAAGAAAATAATATTTTTTGACTTATGCAACTTACATGAAATTCAAATTTCCATGTCCATAAATAAACTTATATTGAAATTCAAGCATGTTCACTTTTTTAATATATGATCTATTAGTGCTGCTTTTGTGCTACAACAGCAGTGTTAAGTAGCTGCAACAGAGAATGTGTGACCCGTAAAGCCTGAAATATTTACTTTCTGGCCTTTTATAGAAAAAGCTTGTCAACCTAGAGACTACATGATCCTTTACATTTCCCTTCCAACCTTTTCTTTTCTTTTTTAAGGTGATTGTTATCTCCTTCCCCCTTCCCCCCGTTTTTTTTTCTGCCTCACTCTTGCTGCCCAGGCTGGAGTGCAATGGAGCGATCCAGGCTCACTGCAACCTCCACCTCCCGAGTTTAAGCAATTCTCCTGCCTCCGCCTCCCGAGTAGCTGCGATTACAGGTGCCCGCCACCATGCCTGGCTAATTTTTGCATTTTTAGTAGATACGGGTTTTCACCATGTTGGCCAGGCTGGTCTCAAACTCCTGACCTCAGGTGATCCATCCCCCTTGGCCTCCCCCTTGGCTGGGATTACAGGCATGAGCCACCCTGCCTGGCCATCCTTCCCTTTTCAATTCCTACTTTCACCTTCACTTTGGAGTTTTGGAAGTATTACAGGATAGTGATGGGAGTTCAGCCCTAGAGGCCCACTTTTGTGTATGACACTGACAGTGCACCTGAATATATTTTTATCTCCACCTTATGAAATATAGAAGTCAGCCTAGATACTCATTAATCAAAATGCCCAACAGTTCTACAGCGCTTTAAAATTTATAAAGTGCTGTCACATGCACTGTCTTACTTGATCTTACATACTGGTACTATTTCCTTTACTTGAAAGAGATGGAACCTGAGGTTCAGATACATTAACTGACTTCCCCAAAATTATTTAACTCTAAAGGCAGAGCAAGATGAAAGCTAATACCATTCATTGCCCACTCCCACCCTCACTGCCACCGCTGGAAGACCAAATTTTAACAACTAACAGCATAGAGAAAAGCACCATCACAAGACTCAAAAATCAGATGAGAAATCACAGCACCTGGATTTAACTTCATATCATAGAGAAAGGCATTGAGGAGGGCAGGA